TTTTTTTTTTTTTTTTTTTTTTTTTTTTTTTTTTTTTTTTTTTTTTTTTTTTTTTTTTTTTTTTTTTTTGTCCATTTACCTAGCTTCAATTGGTAAGTCTAGGAAGGAGTTCTCGATTTATAGGATATTAAATTGAATTTTTCCGCTAAATATAAATTTAAATTTTATGTCTAATAAAATTTTTAAAATGTTAATATTATATTTAATATTAATATTTTTTAAAAAAATTCAAATCAATGCTATCAAATATTTGATTTTTGATCGAGAAAATATGATCTTATCAATTAATCTAGTCGGTATTGAAATCAATACAAATAAAACCCGTGAACTCAATATAAATAAAACTATTTCAAAATTTAAAACACAACGTTTACCTTGCACGTATAAACTCGCTTAGCTTAGTTGAAGGTTAAATTATAATTTTAGTTAATTAATATTGAGGTTGATGAGTGTATTTAATTTTTGAATTTTTAAAAATATTTAATAAAGGTCTGAATTTTCAATTTTGTGTTAATAAATTTCTAATTTTGTATTATAAAATAATTTACTAATCATATTTTTTAGAATTCACAAATCTATTAAATACAAAATTAAAAGTTTAGAGTTCTTACGTTCATCTTCCGTTCATCTTCAATTCATCTTTTTTTTTTTTTAAACGATAATATTTTAGAAAAATCTTTTTTTGGTCCGAGTATAATTTCTATTTAGACCGAAAGTTTCAAAATGTTACACTTGGTATATCGAATTTCACATATTACATTATTACCCTTTGAATTTTGAATTTAATTTCTAATTTGGTCTATATACTTTAGGGAAATTACATTTTTACCCTTGAGTTTTAGTCATTTGTTTAAATTTTCTATTAACTCATTCAAACCAAAATAATTACAACTAAATGAATATTTATTAATTTTCGACCACTATTAAACATAAATGAAAAACCTATCTCATAATTATTTTCAATTAATTAATTGAAGTTAGCACAAATTAAAAAAAAACTACGTAAGGGTAAAAGGGTAAAAATGCAAAATCTAATATATTAAGGACACTATAGAACATAAACAATAAAATATAAAGATAAAAAATGTGATATTTTAAAATTTAAGAACGAAACAAGAACAAAAGTCAGAACTTCGAAATAAAAATGTCACAGCCCAACCCTGTCGCTAGCAAATATTATCCACTTTGACCCGTTATGTATCATCATTTTGGCCCGTTATATATCATCATCAGTCTCAAGATTTTAAAACGCATCTTCTAAAGAGAAGCATTTTAAAAATTCGCTCGACAACCCCTAATACCATTTGTAAACAGCACAAGCCCATTGTTAACAAACATTGTCCATTTTGATTCGTTATACATCACTGTTAGCCTTAAGGTTTAAAATGCATTCAATAAGGCGGTGTTTTCATATAATATAAGAAATGTTATGTTCCTCTCGGACCAATATGAACATAAAAACTATTTATTATTTATTTATTTTTCAAAACACATGTTTATATGTTTTGGGAGAAAAGATTTGAAATAATAATGTGAAGCTAAAATCCAAAAAAGTAGTTGAAATAATTCTGTCACAAAATACAATTAGATTTGACTTTTAATATGCCAGCTCACAATAATTGAAATAATTTTTTAGAAAAAAATTAAACTAATTAAACGTACTTAATTACTTAATTAATGCTTAAATGTATCAATTTAGATCATCACAAATGATTATAATTATTTAATTATTTTCAGTAGCTTTCCTTTAGAATCAAATCAAAATTATTAGAAAAAAAAAAACCCATAATATATTAATGAAAAAACAGGTGTGATTTATTATTTTAATCGAAAATTAAGATTAATCCTATTTTTTAACACAAATAATAATATCCATAAAAAAAATTTGAATTTTTACCGACCGTAATAAAAAATTAACTGACTACTAGCCACTCATTTTTGTGCTCGTGTCGTTTTAGCTCGACAATAAATTTAAAGATTTGAATCTTTGATCTCTTAATTGAGAATATATGTCTTCACTTTTTAACTATGTTTGGTCGATCCAACCTAACATTTCGAGAATCTATGAACTAAACAACATTATCCACTGATTTTCCACTAACTTATTAATTCACACAAAACAAACAGTAAATTATAAGTCAAATGTAACAAAATTTAAGGAACAAGAACACTCAGCAAAGCAAGCTTATGATCTAAGAGACTATACAAAGAGATCTTAAAGTAAAATGACCAAATCATAGGGCGATGCTAACATACTCGGGTCGTAATCAACAATTCGAGAGTCGAAAATGCAAGAACAGTATAAGTTTAGGATTGCTTACTTATAGAAGAACTGCCATAAATGTAGGAGCTGAATCCCCAGAAAGTGATAACTAAAGAGAGGATCTTGAAGCCACTCATAGGATCTTTCAAGAAAATGACAGCACCAATACTCGTAATAGGCACCCGAACCGCATTCAAGACGCCAGCAAGAATGGTCGATGATAAAAACAGAACAGCAGTTCCTCCCAACACTCCTAACTGGAAAGAAACTGCACTCCAAATAAGCACGAGCAAATACGACGACTTACCACCGACGAAACTTTCAGCTTCTGATTTCATGTTCTGAAAATCATTATTTAGAACGACGCCAAGAGTCGTAAACAAGAAGGCGAAAAATGAAACCATTACTTGTTGTTCCAACACAACGTGGAAAGACTTTCTGTCGAGGAGCTTTATGAAAACTAGCTCGGATAGAGCGAAGATGAGTCCGTGGAGAGCGGAGCCTAATATATCCCATACGAATCCTAATATGTATTGCTGATTGGTTATGCCTCCATATCTATCTGAATTCGAATCCAAACCGATCATCACAACTGCAGCTGTGATAATGAACGCAGCATTCAGTATCGAGGCATTAAGTCGATTCTTGGCAAGAAGGTAACCGAATAGTACAGAGAACACGAGCGATGACGAAGCCAAAAGTGAAGCGGTAGAAGCAGGGAGGTATGCATAAGCATATGCATACATGAGGTTATCAGCTGCACTTAAGAATCCCAGCACAACATAAGAAACAATGAGCTTCCAATTCAGAGGGGTAGGATGGATATCAGATAAGAAATACATGGGAAACAACAATAGAGCGGGAATAGGCCAGCCGACGACCGATACCCAGGAAATGATCCATTTGCTCTTCCCACCGTTGTCGTAATAGACACGGGAAAGTATAGACGAAGCGGGGAACGCCACAAGCATTGCTACACTGCTTAGAGCAAGAAGAATCCAATGTGAGATTGGTTTTCTTCTGAATGCTTCTGAAGCTGTTTGCCTGATGGCCGAGATCCGCTTCCATGTTGAAGCTGAAGCCTCTTCTGGGGCGTTCTCCGTTACATCCATCGATATATAAGAATCATCATAAGACATGTGTAGTCAAGTAATATATTCCGTTCGAACCTCGAAGAGAGATGCTGACCTAGACACAAATAGCATAGCTTCTGATCTTTAGAAAATTGAAGCAGACAGTTACAGACAACATGGCACATCCAGTCAAAGTCTTCTTGAATAAACAATACAAATGAGTAAATGATTGAGAAGATTCTTAGTCATTGTTTTCCTATAAAAAAATATAATCAGCATTACTATCAATGTGACAAGTTTGACTTCTACAAACAAAGAAACTAACAGTACCAATTCAAATTTGATAACCCGAACCTGACTCGAGGACAGCAAAACGATGATTGGCTTGTCGAAGTGCTTGATGGATGGTGCTTTAAAGGAGAAGGGAAGATAGTTTGACATTGTGCTATAAGGGTGTCTTTTGATTCTTTTTGTATAATTATGTAACAACCCAACCCACGCTAGCACACCGCCCAGTGTCTGGCTCTAATACTATTTGTAACAGCTCAAGTCCACCGCTAGTAGATATTGTCCTCTTTCGACTTTCCCTTTTTGGTTTTCCCTCAAGGTTTTAAAACGCATCTGCTAGGGAGAAGTTTCCACACTCTTATAAAAAATGTTTCGTTCTCCTCTCCAATCGATGTGGGATCTCACTATCTACCCCCTTTGGGGCCCAGCGTCTTTGCGATCACACCGCCTCATGTCCACTCCCCTTTGGGGCTCAGCCTCCTCGTTGGCACATTGCCCGGTGTTTGGCTTTGATACCACTTGTAATGACCCAAGCCCACCGCTAGCAGATATTGTCCTCTTTGGGCTTTCCCCTTCGAGCTTTCCCTCAAGGTTTTTAAACCGCATCTGCTAGGGAGAAGTTTCCACACCCATATAAATAATGTTTCATTCTCCTCTTCAACCGATGTGAGATCTCACAAACACTCATTGTATAAAGCCAATGTAGGTTCAACCTTTATTAGGCACGTATCGAACACTCATTAAGTACACTAAATAGACACATAATAATATAAGACAAAAAAAGTTCGAGACCAGACTCATTTCATTTTTCAAACATATGAATGCATAACCGTGCTGAGGTGCATACTTCAATAAATGTGACCTTGCCATGTCTATGTCCTAGATTTGTTTAAAAATGGCGTATCAGTAGAATCATGGCTTTTATCATAATGTAGATACAAGGTTTAACCCCAAGAAAATTTCAAAGGAAACCAGACCCTACGCCCATCGCTTTGGTTGAACCATGTCAGAGTAATTAACCCAACACAAATGTAAAACAAATCACCAGAACCATAATTTTCTATCATTTCTAATTCCTATTGCAATTCATAGCCAATGAAAAACAACACAGAATCCACAAAATGAAACATCAAAACATCAAGATTCTTCCATAGATGTAAAATTCCACATTAGAAACAGGGGAAATCAATCAAATCCATCACTAAACTCAACTCCAGAAACAACCCAGAAAGTGAAATCCATGACTACAACAAAATCATAAAGAAACCAAACATCTAAATTAAAAAATAAGAACAACCCAGCTCACCCATTAGCAAAATATGCAAGAACAAGACATGAAAAACCTGAGAAAACACAAAGGCGGCTAAGCCTGTCAAGGGTTGACAGTGAATGCTTCGGGTTTTGGCGGAGATACCAAAAAGTTCGAATCATAAGCATAGGACTGAAAGATCAAGAAATATTTTTACCTGTTTATGAGCAGGCGAAGGCATGAAGCGTATGTGCGGCTGCAGAAGAATTTGGAGAAGATTATGGGAATATTATTTCCACTCAGGGGCTCGGTGTTCGCACAACTGCCACAATCCACGTTTTTTTTAATATAATATGAGGTTAAATTAATAAAACAAATTCGTTTCAATAATACTTTATTAAAAAAAAAAAAAAATCTACCTTATGAGTTTTAAAAATCTATAAGAATTTTTTTTACCAATATTAAAAATTTAAATATATTTTTGAAACAAATCACTCACCTTTCAAACTAAAAACTTTTAAAAATTTTAAAAATTTAAGAATATTTTTTTTAGACAAAATATAAATTTATTAATACTTTAAAACTATAGAATATGTAGTTTTAAAAAATGTATAAATCTTTTATTATATAATTTAACGCATTAAATTATGAATAGAAATGGTAGTAAAAATTTCTATATATGATACATACTATATATGATATATACTATATATAGATTTTTTATAAATGAATTGATAGAACAAACCTAACATAGTAAGATTAAATTTGATTCCTTTGCTAACAATGATTTACAAAGAATAGGTACCCTAAAAGAAATTTTTCGGTTCATCTCAATATATTCTCTCGATCAAGAGGTTTGAGGATCAAATACTCCCTCTAGACAAAAAAAAAAAAAAAAAAA